ATACAATAATTATTGGTTTTTTTTCTTAGTGAGAAATGTAATTAATGTATTTTGGTAGAACCTTATAAATTAATGCAGAATAAATTATTATTATTATTAGAAAAATATTACTATCATTAACAAAATAGAACAGCTTCTAGCTTTTAATCATATTTCGAACGGAGTCTGTGAAATATTCATACCGTCCTTCAGAGGATAATCTAAAACAAAACTTGATAAAGAATAGCTCTTCTCAGGCATTTTTCTTTCCATCTGAATTCAACAAAATATTTTCTTTTAACATAAGATTTAGAGTCAAAGGATCAAAAGAAAACAAAGAAAAGAATAATTGCTTTTGAGAGTAAGAAACAGCAAAAGGGGATTATAAGTTGTTTTGATTTATCAACACATGAAAGCAAACGGCAATCTATTCCAATTGGCATATTTACGTAGTGTAAAATATGATGAATAATTTGTATTTGTATTTTATTTATTATTTTATGGGATTACAACTTTGAAAACTTTAAAGAGTTTGAAGGAGAACTGACAATTACTTCTTGCGATTATTTTTTAGGTAAGCTTATTTAAGACAAAAGCACTGGAGTGTGTAACTCTAAAAGTAAATAGTGTCGACCCAGTTAATTTATCATCCGATCTGTTTGCTTGGCTCTATTACAACCTGCTCTCAAAGACAAACTAACACTCAAATAAAAAATTAAAGAGAGACGGGTATATATATATGGCTATAATATCAGTTACTAGCGATCAACTTTGCATTTGTTAACTTATTATTAAGTTAGCTTACATCAGCTGAATGTTAAATAACACTAAACTAATTTCACAATATCCGTGGCAATGTAAAACTCTGTGAAAATTTTGTTGAAATGTTTTCAAAAAGGCCAATACGAGAAAACCAAACCTGTTGCACTGAAATTATCTTCAAACACGGAGCTATTTTGGGAGGAAGCCTCCTTGGTGAGTGACCAACATTTGCATTCCTTCAGTGGTAATAGGTCACAAGTTTAGAATAAAAATCTGTTCAGCGAGCAACAGAACAAAATCCGATCCAGAAATTCTAACTCACGATACCATAGACTTAGACTGGAATAAAGCAACAATCTCAAATACGATTTCTAAATCGGAATTCAATAACAACAGGCTGAAGATAAGTAACTTACATTCCAAAAGATGGATTGTCGCACAAGCCAGCGAAGGCTACAGTAAATATACAATAAGCCGTATTTGTTTAATTTGGTAATACTCACAAGTTCACAATAAATGGGTGATCTATCTTCATGAGGATTGTTTTCTCGTTCTGTACATGCTCGACTTGTTTTAAGCGTATAACTTCACTAATATTCATAATCTTCAGCGCATAGTATTCTCCACCTCTTCGATCCTTTGCAAGAAGTACTCTTCCGAACGTCCCCGTTCCTGCAAGACAAACATAGGAAATATTAGAACCCTAGGCAAATATTAAAAGCCTGATAATAAGGCAATTGGCTCTCCAGAGATCATAGACGCAGCTCGAGAAATTACTTATGAACAACAAAAAAAAGACTTCCATGTATACCCAATGTGACTGATAACTCGAAATCTTGAAGTGTTGTCCTCTTGTCCTTCTTTCGACTCCCAACAACGGATGCCATTTGCAATCACTTGGAATTATGACCAGAATCCTTTACATTCGGGAGTACATGGGAAGTGTGGCGATAATATAATAAATTTTGATTTCTTTTTTAGGAACCCCCCGTTTTTACAGCTTACTGAGGTATGATTAGTAAGGCAAGATAGACCAAGTACACTTGGATGACGGATGCAAATTGACTTGTTGCTTACTTGATCGCTGATTGGTCGAGTTATTATTCGGTAATGGCACGTGTAGATCTCGAACAAAACGTTATCGCGCGTCTTACACTAACAATCGTCACGTCTTGTTTGTTAGAGTTAATAGCTGTTGCATATTTCAAGTAAAGTGCTGCGAGGAGGAATCAAGTGACATCTGGGTAGTATTTATGGTTGCTGTATATTGTTTATCTAATGCCTGTCTCTACATGTGATTTATTTGTTATAGTGTTGCTGTTACAATAGAAAAAGAAAGTCGCTATGTATTTTTATGAAATATATACAAATCGTGCAGTAACGAAATAATTTGCATGAAGACGTTTTAATCATAAGATGTTATTCTTAATGTACTTTCTGTGAACTTGACATAATTTACACTTACATTTCAGTGGCGAATCCAGGAATTTTAGCAGCGGGGTGACTATTAAAAAGGTTTTACCAGGAATGCGAGGAGGGGGGGGGG